GCAACAGATACTAGTCGTAAAAGCCTACTAAATGATGATCACGTTGCAGCAGAGTCTGACCACGCTGTCTCGGTGTCACTGAGATCATTGCGATTCGAAAGCAAGAATCAATTACTTATGCAGACAATGAGTTGTTTACACGGCACAGGCAGGATTAGTTTACAGAAGTAGCTGGAGTATGAAAAGAAGCATAAGGGCAGCATTTATATTATTTGTGTTTCTCATCAAGCAGTGTTGGCATGATATATTCGTATCTATATGCTCTGTATATCTCAAGTCGTGTTAGCATGCTGTATTCGTGTCTATATGATCTGTATATCTCAAGCAGTGTTAGCATGATATATTCGTGTCTATATGCTCTGTATATCTCAAGTCGTGTTAGCATGCTGTATTCGTGTCTATATGCTCTGTATATCTCAAGCAGTGTTAGCATGATATATTCGTGTCTATATGATCTGTATATCTCAAGCAGTGTTAGCATGATGTATTCGTGTCTATATCCTCTGTATATCTCAAGCCGTGTTAGCATGATGTATTCGTGTCTATATGCTCTGTATATCTCAAGTCGTGTTAGCATGATGTATTCATGTCTATATGCTCTGGATATCTCAAGCAGTGTTAGCATGCTGTATTCGTGTCTATATGCTCTGTATATCTCAAGCCGTGTTAGCATGATGTATTCATGTCTATATGCTCTGGATATCTCAAGCCGTGTTAGCATGCTGTATTCGTGTCTATATGCTCTGTATATCTCAAGCCGTGTTAGCATGATGTATTCGTGTCTATATGCTCTGTATATCTCAAGCCGTGTTAGCATGCTGTATTCGTGTCTATATGCTCTGTATATCTCAAGCCGTGTTAGCATGATGTATTCGTGTCTATATCCTCTGTATATCTCAAGCAGTGTTAGCATGCTGTATTCGTGTCTATATGCTCTGTATATCTCAAGTCGTGTTAGCATGTTGTATTCGTGTCTATATGCTCTGTATATCTCAAGCCGTGTTAGCATGATGTATTCATGTCTATATGCTCTGTATATCTCAAGCCGTGTTAGCATGCTGTATTCGTGTCTATATGCTCTGTATATCTCAAGTCGTGTTAGCATGATGGATTCGTGTCTATATGCTCTGTATATCTCAAGCCGTGTTAGCATGCTGTATTCGTGTCTATATGCTCTGTATATCTCAAGCCGTGTTAGCATGCTGTATTCGTGTCTATATGCTCTGTATATCTCAAGCCGTGTTAGCATGATGTATTCGTTGTATTTGTCTATATGATGTATGTATATTCGTGTATTCGTGTCTGTATTCTGTCTATATCTCTGTATATCTCAATCTCGTGTCTATATGTTAGCATGATGTATTCATGTCTATATGCTCTGGATATCTCAAGCAGTGTTAGCATGCTGTATTCATGTCTATATGCTCTGTATATCTCGTGTTAGCATGATGTATTCTATATGTCTATATGCTCTGGATATCTCAAGCAGTGTTAGCATGCTGTATTCATGTCTATATGCTCTGTATATCTCAAGTCGTGTTAGCATGATGTATTCGTGTGTATATATCCTCTGTATATCTCAAGCCGTGTTAGCATGATGTATTCGTGTCTATATGCCGTGTTCTGTATATCTCAAGCCGTGTTAGCATGATGTATTCGTGTCTATATGCTCTGATATCTCAAGTCGTGTCATGCTGTATGTCTATATGATCTGTATATCTCAAGCAGTGTTAGCATGATGTATTCGTGTCTATATGCTCTGTATATCTCAAGCCGTGTTAGCACGCTGTATGTATTCAAGCCGTGTGTCGTGTATATGCTCTGTATATCTCAAACAGTGTTAGCATGATGTATTCGTGTCTATATCCTCTGTATATCTAAAGCAGTGTTAGCATGCTGTATTCGTGTCTATATGATCTGTATATCTCAAGCAGTGTTAGCATGCTGTATTCGTGTCGATATGTTCTGTATATCTCAAGTCGTGATGTATGAAGTACTTTCATGATACTGTCCTCGTATCTATGTGCCCAGTACACTTCCAGCTGTGAAGCACGTGTTAGGATGCGCGTTCTACGTCAATAACCTTCAAATGTGGCTTGTTTGCAGTGCGTGTCTCCATATGGTGGTAGAGTAGGCCCCTTGCAACAGATACTAGTCGTAAAAGCCTACTAAATGATGATCACGTTGCAGCAGAGTCTGGCCACGCTGTCTCGGTGTCACTGAGATCATTGCGATTCGAAAGCAAGAATCAATTACTTATGCAGACAATGAGTTGTTTACACGGCACAGGCAGGATTAGTTTACAGAAGTAGCTGGAGTATGAAAAGAAGCATAAGGGCAGCATTTTTATTTTTTGTGTTTCTCATCGCCTGACCGACCCTTACAAAATTATTGCAGACCCCCACCCACCCCAACAATCAAAAAATTCATTCCAATACCGCCGACTAGAACCTTAAACGTACTCGTTCGTCATATAAAATGTCTATCTAACTACTATGTTTTAATCAGTCGCGGCCACAAGTCAAAAGAAATGCGAGAAATTGTAATAAGAATTACAATTAATGAGAATCAAGAACATTATACAGAAAATTTTGTCTTTATTAAGGTTTTTAGGGTTTTTTCCCCGACTGACCGACCTATGTTCGGAATTTGGTGGCTACGTGAAACGCATAAAAACTGATCCCCTAAACAGGTGTCATGATGTCTCCCATTTGTACTGATGAGTACCTGAAGGTTATTTCGCTTAATTCGCAAGCAGTGGGGTTAATATAAGATTGGTCCTTTATTGTTTATATATATTTTTATTTTTTCATGAATTTGTAGATAGCTGTTCCTACCATAATGTTACATTGCAAACTGTTTTGTGGGGTCGGTGTGGTAAAGCGTTCTCACAGGATCGGGTTCGATCCCCAGATACGTATAATGTGTGAAACCAGTTTCTAGTGTGCCCCGAAATGACATTCGTCAAATCTTGCTCCCTCACTCACTCACTGAGTCCCTCACTCATTCACTCTGTATGCGTATCTAGTCCTGCATGTGTCATACGACAATTCTACCCAAACCTATTTTTTGCATTCGACTCTACAAAATGAACACAACAAAATAAAAAACACACCTTCAACAAGAATATATTTTACAGTCACTAATCCTTACTTCTTTTCAGACAAAACTATAAACAAAATAGATCCCAAGATCTAGTCTGTGTGTTATCGAGGTCAACTCAATTTCCACAGAGAAAGCGCAATCTGGCTCCCCTCTTACATCGGCTTACATCCCCAAAGAACGCTAATCCCCGTACGGTATAAATATGCGATCAGAGCGCAAGATCAATACTGGTTCTCTGTTTCGATCCGGCCTAAGTCCGTCTTAAGAGCAAAATCATTGTTTGGAGAGCAAAAAGCTGAAATATATTCAATCCCGGATAAGGATATTGGCAATATTGGGAGGTGTGATAAAAGGCTGATTTTACCCTTGGGAACGCAATCAATGACGTCATTTCCGGTACGCAGAAGACTTACTGAAGCTAATCTATCGTTTCGTATCTTTTTTATGATAAGATTATGTTTGCAAGACAAATGATATGTAAAGAAAAATAATATTAATGAGACTGTTCAACGATGTGGTTATATCCTACAACAATAGTTCGTAATTCAGGGGTGAATGGAATGTTGAAGGTAGGTACAACCCTAGTAACAAGAAACACAAACAAACCAGTCTCATGTCAGTTTAATTATTTGTTGAGTTAAGAGGTCTGATAAAAGTTTAATTATTACAAACCGTATGAATTATTACGTCGTTAATCCATTGTAGGAATCTTTGGTATGTCGGCATGTGTCAGTTATTTCTGGAGCTATAACAATGTGCTGCTGTAAATATTTGAAGCATTTCAGTGGTACAATATTGGCAGATATTATCCAAGGTGTTGTAAATGTATATATGACGAAATGGTCACCTGAATTGTTACAGTACAACGAAAACTGTGGTGGGTAAAGATTTGCTTGTGACGATGAAATCGAAGGCTAGGGTATGCCAGATATTGCCATAAGTGTGTAAAACTCTCCTATAGCAGAGAGAGATTTATTAATGTTAATGTAACCAAATTGATATATTATGTTACTGTGAATGTGATATAAATACTCCAAAAGAGAGGTGAGGTGGGGTGAGGTGAAATTGGGTTTTACGTCGTGCTTGAGAATATTTCGCTCATATGACGACGTGCATGCGTGTGTATGTGTATGTGCAGCTGCCTGTACTAGCCCCCAGACTGAAGTTGGTATTTATAGTGCTAGCCCAGTCTATAGCCCAGACTGAAGCTGGTTTTATAGTGCTAGCCCACTGAGATGCCATGCCGCAGTGAGGCATGAATACCCCACTCAGACACATTATACTGACTCCGAGCCGACCAGTCCTTGTTGTACCCATTAATGCCGAGCGCCAGACAGGGACCATCAAGTTCCATATTTTAACGTATTTTGGTATGACGCGGTCGGGGATCGAGAGAGAGAGAGAGACACACACACAAACACACACACAAAACACAACTACACACACCCTTTCTATATTTTTCAGACACAGTCTGACAGCCATATTGATTATTTTAAACTGATATTTATTTCAAGGATGTGAATTACCGTATTCCATTTTACCGTGATACATAAACTTATTGTATTGTCAAAGACCCAGCACTGTGTTACTGAAAGTTGGATCAACAAAACCAGCATATTCTAAGAAGTTCTGGAACATACACACTTACACATTTAGAACTTTTATAAATGTAACATATACCACTGTACGTAAATATATACATTCTACAGTGGATAATGTAATTCCCTTTGGACAGATCAACACTCGCCACCTACAGGTGGACAACGCACATCACGTTTTATTATAATGGACATCCCAAACTTTTACCGGACAATGTAAACAAAACCTGTAACCCGGACAATGCAACCGAAACTGTAACCGGGACAACGTAACCAAACAAAAAAAATGGTACTTACTTGAAATAATGAAACATACAAGCCTGGTGACACTCGGACAGGATTTCAACTGGCCAGTGACGCAAAAATCCAACACTCCTGGAACAGAATTTCACAAGTTTGTCATCCATGTTTCTTTTGGCACTGGCTGTCGTCTGCTCCGTGAGTGGTGGTGGGACGGACGACAGTATTGATTGTACCGAAAGCACTGCAAGTTGGGATATTGAAGTTATCCACCACGATCCTCACTTATTTCCCCATTAATCTTCTCCCAATTTGTCCTACCCATTCGAGTCAGCTTTTTATCTGATACGTCAATCACATATCGGAATGCTCTCCAAACGGCAACCTCATTCAAGTTGAGACAAAAGACAGCTCTCCTTGCACGCGAGTACCAGCCACAGGGGAACCCTGTCTCACGTTGCTGTGGGACAGCAGACGATAGTCGTGAGTCTGAACGAGGGGTGCAATCTCCTGACGAGGGTATGCAATCTCTAAACTACGGGGGACTACCCCATGTCCAGTCTCCTTGATGAGGCACACTCCCCTTAAGTTGCCCGTGTTAACACTAGTCTCCACTCAAGCCTATGCTTCAGGTTGAATAGGATCAGAGATTTGGAGCACTCCAGGCTTTATTCTGCGGGCTACTCGAGGAAATGGTACCCACTTTTCCGAAAGCTTTATAATGCAAACGCTCTGTAACAAACGATAGAAACTGCAGCATACGTTTGGGATGATTCGCTGATTCAACTTTCATTTGAGTTAATGTGTTAAATAGACGCCGTGAAATATGAAAAAAGGTCTTCCTATCACGTGCAGAAAGAAGTTCTATTCATTATGCGATCAGCATAATATGTTCTCTGAAAGTCATTGCGTGGAGCGTAAAGGCGGGCTCTCCGTTGTACAATATACTTTTCAAAGTCGGAACCAGACTTACCACAACGAAGCACTCTAGTTCGGATAATCCCTGCCTGTACTGTACTGTACTGTACTGTACTGCCAAAGCAGGATTCATTACAAGCACTGGTGTAATATATCGTTATTGTACCTATACATAACACATAACAACATTTTCATTGCCCTGCAAATACACATCCTTCATTGTGATTACTTTTAAAAGCCACTAGCTGGCATTATCTGTCAAACTGAGCCATAATTGTTATCATTGCCGAGAGATAATACCCGGAGTTGTTTTATCTCCTTACAAACTCTTATTAGTTTGAATGGCTCGACTCACTAAAAGGGGTGTTTATAGGGTTATAAGAACGACAGATAATATTACATTTCCTATAAAGTATCAAGTATTATTTTTATTTATCACACATTATCGCTTTAAGGTAGGCCCTTTTTTGCAATAAAGTCGTTGGAAAAGTAAGTGAATCCATCTGTTTCGTTAATATGGCCGCCAAGACAGCCATTTTGAAACTGTAATACAGTAATTAGCATAGGAACATGAAGCATCAAATGTCTTGTGCTGCCTGTAGGACAGGACATGTTTACCCTTCTTGCCAACACCAGGTGTCAATACGACTTTCAGTTATTTATGCACATTATTCTCACCACGTCCGCTCGTCTCGCCGAAAACCGGGTTCGATTCCCCACATGGGCACAATGTGTGAAGCCCATTTCTGGTGTCCCCCGCCGTGATATTGCTGGAATATTGCTAAAAGCGGCGTAAAACCAAACTCACTCACTCACTCACTCACTCTCACCACAATCTTGTCGTGTAATTTTTCCAATGTAGTATGTTTTACCGGATAATCGAGATTGGTTACTATCGGGCTTTGGTGTATACATTGCACGTCGAATCCATGGGTCAATTGCGAATACTTTCAAACTGGCATTTAAAAACTCGTTATCGAATTTCTAGAAAGGTAACAATAATATTTACAATTTGTGTGTGCTCGGGTATTAAGTATTTAGCAAAACGTGTCAGTGTATCTTAGCAGGGGAGGCATCTGTAACGCTGTTTTACAATATCATAAATAGACAAGAGTGATATATGACACCTTTTATACACTTTAATCTAGTTCAAATATTGTCTGATAGACGCTTCACACTGACATCTAGTCTCTTCAAGCACTATCCGGACACGATTCGTCATGCACATGCAATTTCTTGTCATTCACACAATGTCTTATCAATTATTTAACATCGCGTATCTAACCCTTGTTGACCCTCATCACCTTCGAGAACCACTTCTCCCTCCCGCAGTGCCCAATCTGGAATCACGTGACCCGTAGCTACTTTCCAGAATCACGTGACCCCATTCCGAGTGTCACTCACTTGGAGAGGGGTTGAAGCACGGGTGATCCGTGCAAAACGTTCTGGGTACACATGGCTGGAGATGGGGGTTGGTGTACAGGGGCTTGTCACACTGTTTGACGGGTTTATCTTCATAGTCGACACGATAACAAAGTGGTTCGTTAATCATCAACTACGTATTAGATTCCCGGCAATCAGTGGTTCTGGCATTGTATGCCTAAGTGTGTACTTATCACTTGGTAGCACTACTAATCTAGGCTTTGAGGAGTCCGGTGCTCACTGGCGCGTAATCCGCTGTGAAGAGTTACGTCCCTTTGCTATGATCCAACGGTCGTTAGTTCGATTCCTGGTTTCCAGATTCTAGCCCCTAATATATGGAAATAAATCCGGTTTCGTGCTACTAAATTCCTCCAACATTAAACTGAAAATCGTTGCACCCGTGAAGTTCCGGGTTAGAATTGATCTTCAGTAACCCATGCTTGGCGTAAGAGGCGACTAACGGGATCGGGTGGTTAGGCTCTCTGACTGGGTCGCCACGTCATCGTATCCCAATTGCGTAGGTTGATGTTCATGCTGTTGATCCCTGGATTGTCTGGTCCAGATCCGATTATGTACAGACCGCCGCCATATAGCTGGGATATTGCTGAGTGCGGCGTAAAACTAAACTCACTCACTCACTGAAAATCCTTGTCATAACCGAATTTAACTAGGCTACTATTCAAATACTCTCACTCATGTATACACTCACTCACACGCTGAGACAAACTGTCTGACTAACAGTTTCACATATTCATAACCTCACTCACATTTCTTCACACTCACCCTACCCACCCCACCCCCTCCCCAACCCTCCTAACCCTTCCCCACACAGACATATCTGTGTACTCACATATACTAAGTCTCACTCACAAGTATTCTCAGTCTAACTCACTTACAATACTCGAACATTACACTTTAAAAACTCACTCACTCACTCACTCAAGCCCCCTCAGAAACATGTACGCGAAGTCTACACTATTCATCCCGTGGCCAGTATGAAACTGAGTGGCCGTATTTTAGTGGATTCATAAGCTGTTGCTTGGTAAGCTGGATCTTAAACAACTGGAAGTAGATGCTCTAACGCGTCTGAATGACCTAACGCAATCTGGCTTCAAGTACAAGTTAGAAGAGGTCCAGTTTTCTAGTTTGTTGGTCAACGTCACACTCAATATCATTCCACTTATTCTGTAACTTTTCGAGTCTCGAACTGGCAATCCGGGGATTGACTTCCATAGAACCAATCTCCGCTGTTAGGATTAAATGACATCCATTTGACAAGACTGTGAGCCTGACCACCCGATCCCGTCAGACGCCTCTTACGACAAACATTGGATGTTGAAGATCAATTCTAACCCGGACCTTCAGAGGTGGAAAGTATGAGTGATACTTTGATATGCTTTTTATCCCCCTATAAAGTGATAATATAATCAGATCTGAACATTATCAGTCGGCAAATCCCTTGAGGAAAGATTAAGAGTACAGAAGGCACGGTAAACATGTTCCGATAGTGTACAAGAAAAATCAGTTGTTGATCTCGGGGGTTAGATTGCAATTATACATCTTGTGTTAGTTCATTGTGCCATGGGGGCGGTGGGGTAGCCCAGTGGTAAAGCGTTCGCTCGTCACGCCGAAGACCCGGGTTCGATTCCCCACATGGGTACAATGTGTGCAGCTCATTTCTGTAGTCCCCCGCCGTGATATTGCTGGACAATTGCTAAAAGCGGCGTAAAACCAAACTCACTCACTCACTCATTACGTCATTTATATACCATGCGGTCATGTGATCTAAGACATGTCAAAGGGTTTGTTTTGTTCTGATCAACTACTAAAACAGAAATTTAATGCCGAGAACTATATATATATATACATATATATATGTACCGTCTATGTACAACACATGCAGCATGTCGGGCTTTCCTCCATCTTTTAGCAAACACACCATGATAAACTTATTCAGTCACTCACTCAGTCACTCACTAAGTCAATCAATCAACCGATCGATCGGTCGAGCGATCAATCAATCAATACCTATATAATCTTTAAATGTGCTACATCACAATCCATATGTAAATATTTCATCAAAACGTAAACCTCTATTTGTCTTACATTTCAACAGTAGTGCTACCTATGCAATTATCCCCAGCTGACAGGTCTTGCCAACCTCGACTTTAAGTAGTGACACAGAACACGGCCCGACCTCGGTTCAAAGAGTACATTCATTAATCCACACACAATGTTTTAAGTACGACCAGTGACCATGCTGGTGCTCTTTGAAGTGCTCCCCTTCAATTAATGTACAAAAAGATAAGATAGGATAGTTTATAGCTCTCAACCGTTTCCAATACTACCTTCCAGACAGCAAATAACAATAAATCAGGCGCTCCTGCAATCTTATATGAACGAAAGATTTCCATTAGCTATCAATTAAAAGTGCAAAATCGAATTGTTTGAAACTATACGTCAGCCCAGCTCTGCCATCACCAGGTAGCGGCGCATTGTATAAACACAGTTATCGACGGGTAACAATGCAGTAATACTACGACAAACAACCTACTACAATTACGTACCTCGCAATCTCCATGGAAGATATCAAAGTTTTGCACTGTGTAGGCTTGGCTTAATACAACAGTTTTAATGGCACACTTGTAGCAGTTACAGCGGTATGCAATAAACGTGTTTGTACGAACTGATAATGCAAAATGAAAACTCCATTCTTTTATTTTTATTAGAAGGTAATTTATAATTACGAAATACACAGCCCCCTTTCAAGCTGTCTACATAAAAATAACAGATATATATTTTTAACGTAGACGTATGAGTGAACGTCGTGATGTAGAGGGGAGGTTTTACATATAGTTTGTTTGTTTATTTGTTTGTTTGTTTGTGTGTTGTTTAACGCCGCACTCAGCATACTCACATATTGAAAGCCTAACAATAAGAAATGTTCAAGGTGGATGAGTGCTATCCACTAATACTCACATACTGTAACCCTGTAAATTCTCGAGTCCAGATTCTGACACACACGGGTGTGGAACATGACCCATCTCTACAAGTGATATAGCTAAGTTTTCTCCTAAGAGACTGGAGTAACATGTCAGACTAGGAGAGTTTGATAACCACTTTACCTCTGGTAGCTTTTTATATGATTCATGACTATATGTGTCCCTCGAATTTGAAAGGCACATACGTTACATTTAGGGTTACACTTTTTCAGTAAAGTACAGATTCTAGAACAGCCCAATCAGGTATTCGAAACCGACACGCTCACAATCAGGCACCTAATCGCCAGCACACAAAGTCAGCGATCTAACCTACTCAGCCAACGCACTCCCAAACATGTACATGTGGCCATTTTCTAAATGGCATTGCGTATTCACATCGAATTTGAAAGGCACACAAATAGAGATTCGACGACGAACTTATTTAAGACATGATTTTAACGTGTCAATTTAGACTCCAGTTCAAGGGTGACTCAATGGAACCTGTGTATCATTGTCCTACAAAGTGGATATACAAACAGACCATAACGTTATACCGGTTGACATTTCAGCGTGTATTGGGCACTTTTCATATGAAACAGTGGCTGAATAGACCCCAGCTATGTCGCGATGGCAGAATAGGTCCCGAGCTATGCCACGAAGGCAGAATAGGTCCCTAACTATGTCACAAGGGCAGAATAGGTCCCTAGCTATGTCACGAAGGCAGAATAGGTTCCTAACTAAGTCACGGGGTCAGAATATGTCCGTAGCTATGTCACGGGCAGAATAGACCCCAGCTATGTCACGATGGCAGAATAGGTCCCTAGCTATGTCACGAAGGCAGAATAGGTCCCTAGCTATGTCACAAGGGCAGAATAGGTCCCTAGCTATGTCACGAGGGCAGAATAGGTCCCTAGCTATGTCACGTGGGCAGAATAGGTCCCTAGCTATGTCAACGAAGGCAGAATATGTCCCTAGCTAGACCCCAGCTATGTCAAAGGGGCAGAATAGACCCCAGCTATGTCACGGGCAGAATAGACCCAAGCTATGTCACAGGGGCAGAATAGACCCCAGCTATGTCACAAGGGCAGAATAGACCCCAGCTAGGTCACGAGGGCAGAATAGGTCCCCAGCTATGTCACGAGGGCAGAATAGGTCCCCAGCTATGTCACGAGGGCAGAATAGACCCCAGCTATGTCACTGGGAATAGACCCCAGCTAGAATAGGTCCCTAGCTATGTCACGAGGGCAGAATAGGTCCCCAGCTATGTCACGAGGGCAGAATAGGTCCCCAGCTATGTCACGAGGGCAGAATAGGTCCCCAGCTATGTCACGAGGGCAGAATAGGTCCCCAGCTATGTCACACTGGTAGAATAATCCCTAGCTATGTCCTAGCAGAATAGATCCCCAGCTCACACAAGGGCAGAATAGGTCCCAGCTATGTCACGAGGGCAGAATAGGTCCCTAGCTATGTCACACGAGGGCAGAATAGGTCCCCTAGCTATGTCACGAGGGCAGAATGGGTCCCCAGCTATGCGAGGGCAGAATAGGTACCTAGCTGTTACAAGGACAGAATAGGTCCCCAGCTATGTCACGAGGGCAGAATAGATCCCCAGCTATATCACGATGGCAGAATAGGTCCCTAGCTATGTCACAAGGACAAAATAGGTCCCTAGCTATGTCACACTGGTAGAATATGTCCCCAGCTATGTCACAAGAGTAGAATAAGTTCCTAACTATTTCACAAGGACAGAATAGGTCCCAAACTAATTCACGAGGGCAGAATAGATCCCCAGCTATGTCACGAGGGCAGAATAGATCCCCAGCTATGTCACGAGGGCAGAATAGATCCCCAGCCATATCACGAGGGCAGAATAGATCCCCAGCTATGTCACAAGGGCAGAATAGATCCCTAGCTATGTCACGAAGTCAGAATAGGTCCCCAGCTGTCACAAGGCCATGATAGAGACCCAGCTATATCTCGTTGGGACACCTTGTATGGATACCCGGTCAGAGTAAGAGCCCAGCCATGTCTTTCTTTGTTTAACGCCGCACTCAGCAATGTTCCAGCTGTATGACAGACAATCCAGTGATTGACATCATGAGCATCGATCTACGATGACATGCTGAGCCAAGTCAGCGAGCCTGACCACCCGATCCAGTTTGTCGCATCTTCCGACAAACATGGCAATTCTGAACCTGAACTTCACGGATAAGCCAGCTATGTCACCAACGACACTGAATGGAGATACCTGGGTTCCAGTCCACAAAAAGATATTAGGCGAAGATGATGTTACTCACATAATCTAGCATAGAATTACGACAATCATATCGCAGCGCTAAGATCGCTATCATTTGGTTAGTAGTTATTATTTACAACCAACTAGGTTGGAAACAATACACGAACTCCTATTTTTTTCTTTGGATAAACAAAGAAGTCTGCGCAGGACATATTTATATATATTCAAAGATCGTTTTTTACCTTATGAAAGAGTTGTGATCTGGATCGTTTAAATTCTGCATTCCACCAGCCATAAATATGTCTTCAAAATCCTGAAAAAATACATTTACATAACATAAATCACACGAGCACTCCATACATGTACCACGTGTTTGGGGCTGCTGCCAGTATTTTCTCTTTGATGGCAAGGCTTCGCCAGTTCCATTTTATGTTAGACTATAGACAACTTGCATTTTGGATGATATAGCAGCCTGACATATAAACCTAATCAGATTTCCTCCTGGTATTATTAATTCACTTAATTTAACTTACATCACAACGAGCTCAGGACCAAGAATACAATGACATCAAACATGCTATTCACACTTTATAACACCCATGTCCTTGGTCATGACTTACATAACTAATAAACACCAATTATGCAACTATAACTGCTATAAATAGATGTTTTTCATCAATCTGCCCTAGATGATGGAACGTACTTTAGCTGATATACACAACAGCTCTGTGGGCGTGTGGGTGCTGACTGTGGCTTGACGACGGCTCCGGGTAATGACCGCCAACTCCTGAAACAAGACGCCCAACTCAGTCATACAGGAATCTGGCAGAGATCCACTAATACAGTTAGTGATAATGGACAGATTACACAATGTATTTGTTTGTCACCAACACACGCACGCAGGCACTCTCGCTCACGCTTACACACAAACACACACACGCACGCGCGCGCGCACGCACACAGTACACACACACAGTAATGTGTATGTATAGGTAGATAGGCGGACGGATGGATGGGCAGATGATAGATGAGTGGATAATTGATAGATGGGTGGGTGGTGTATAGATGGGTGGGTGGGTGGAAAGATAGATGGGTTGGTGGATGATTGATGGGTGGGTGGGTCATTTGGTGAGTGGATGATGTGTGGGTGGAGGGATGATAGAAAATGCAACTTTATTCTGTTAACGAGTGGCAGAAATCTCTTAACATATTTAACTCGACTGTAATATCCAGCAGTAATGGTGTTTTCAATATTATCTTAACGTAGATCAAGACATCCACTGACAAATGACTTGAAACAGATCAGTACATACACTGATTTATGACTTGAAACAGATCAGGACATACACTGATTTATGATAAATCATCTGTTGATTAATGGCATGGATGATATCAAGTCAGATAACGTTTTTAACTAAAAGCAGCTCAAGACATCTCAAAATCAGTCATATGGACCAGATCGCGATCCATATAGATTAACTGCACGAAACAAATAAAGTCATTAATATGCCTATAGTCAAATGACATGAAACAGATCAAGGTATCTACAGAGTAATTACATGAACCAGATCCAGATGCCTAAAGATTAATTGTTTGAACCATATCAAGACATCTATAAATTAATGACATAAACCAAATCAAGACATCTATAAATTACTGACATGAACCAGATCAATATGCCTACAGACAATTGACATGAAACAGATCAAGATGCCTACAGACAAATGACATGAAACAGATCAAGATGCCTACAGACAAAAGTGACATGAAACAGATCAAGATGCCTATAGACAAGTGACATGAAACAGATCAAGATGCCTACAGATGCCATGAACCAGATCAAGATGCCTACAGACAAATGACATGAAACAGATCAAGATGCCTACAGACAAATGATAGATCAAATGACATGAACCAGATCAAAGATGCCTACAGACAAGTGACATGAAACAGATCAAGATGCCTACAGACAAATGACATGAACCAGATCAAAATGCCTACAGACAAATGACATGAACAGATCAAAATGCCTACAGATGACATGAATCAAGATCAAGATGCATGAAACAGACAAGATGCCTACAGACAATTGACATGAAACAGATCAAGATGCCTACAGACAAATGACATGAAACAGATCAAGATGCCTACAGACAAATGACATGAACCAGATCAAAATGCCTACAGACAAGTGACATGAAACAGATCAAGATGCCTATAGTCAAGTGACATGAAACAGATCAAGATGCCTACAGACAAATGACATGAACCAGATCAAGATGCCTACAGACAAATGACATGAAACAGATCAAGATGCCTACAGACAAATGATATGAACCAGATCAATATGCCTACAGACAAATGACATGAACCAGATCAAAATGCCTACAGACAAGTGACATGAACCAGATCAAGATGCCTGACATGAAACAGATCAAGATGCCTACAGACATGAACAGACCAAGATGCCTACAGACAAATGATATGAACCAGATCAAAATGCCTACAGACAAGTGACATGAAACAGATCAAGATGCCTACAGACAAATGACATGAAACAGATCAAGATGCCTACAGACAAATGACATGAAACAGATCAAGATGCCTACAGACAAATGACATGAAACAGATCAAGATGCCTACAGACAAATGACATGAATCAGATCAAGATGCCTACAGACAAACGACATGAATCAGATCAAGATGCCTACAGACAAATGAGCATGAACCAGATCAAGATGCCTACAGACAAATGACATGAACCAGATCAAGATGCCTACAGACAAATGACATGAACCAGATCAAGATGCCTGTAGATGTTTGACATGAGGATCAAGGCAGCCATGTATTAAACCCATCAGACTACGTCATCTATAGATCAACACACCTGACCAATATCCCAGCAGTATCACGGCTGAGAACACACGGAATGGGTTTCACATATTGTACCCATGTGAAGAATCGAACCTTTGACGTAACTACAGAACACGTTATCAACTACGCTACACCGTCGCCTTTGATGAAGGCGTATAACATCTTGTTATGGACACAACAAAGCCTCTCCTCTATAGAGGTAGTGAGTTGGGTTTTATGCCGCTTTTAGCAATATTCCAGCAATATCACGGCAGGGGATGACCAGAAATGAGCGTCACACATTGTACCCATGTGCGGAATCGAACCCGGGTCTTCGGCGTGACGAGTGAACGCTTTAACCACTAGGCTACCCCGCCGCCCCCTATGGAGGTAAATACAGTGTTATCCGGTTACTTCATATGCCGTTACAGTCTGGTACAGAGTGATAGCCATCATAAATTATGACATAGTTAACCATTATGCACAATTGTAGATCGTTGATAAATAGGTACTTCATTTCGACGTTCAAACTTTTATATATTATTAAGAGTGAGTGACGAGACGCGGGACTAGAAAAGACAGCGGGGTCAAGCACACCTCCTTGGGGTAATCACATACTTAATATACAGCCGAATACAGCGTGCTTCATAACACGTGGCCTGGGTCTATAAACATCTTACGTTAAACGGAAGTGATCTGTGGTGCAGTCAAGTGCACTGTTATGGTAGCTGCAGACTTCAGTCTAGTCAGCCTTCATGAACGTGATGGGCACAATGGAAAACTGAAATCAGGAATATCTCTACCACTCCAGGTGATATGCACCAACCACTACATAGAGAATCTCACCCGAGTGTCTTTTGATAGCAAATATATCACCACGAGTTGATAAAGTAACACATATCCGAGGCTTGCCGAGGATATTTTTACTTTTATCAACGAGTGTTGATATATTTGATATCAGAAGACACGAGGGTGAGATTTTATTTATCATCAAAAATCACTCTTCATTAGTTTTCAATGAAAAATGTACATCTCTGTACACAGTACTGCCATTAGATTTGCAGCAATGTCATAGCATAGTGACGTCATCAAGTTCATGACGTCATAGCATTGTACAAAATCTACTGTCAAAACGATATCTCCCAGGATATATCGCATGATCTCACACAAGCGATATCTCCTGTGGAACACAGTTTTATTTTGGATGATAAGTATGTTATCAACAGGACCTTAACTCGATCTCAAACTCGGTTCATATAATTAACATTGATTTGTTTGTTTGTTGTAAACGATAGGGTCTGAACGAGACAAATTGTCTGATTGCCATTGTAAAGGTTGGTGATTAAAAGAAATATTTACGTATAACTTTATGGATAACAAAACATTTTTTAAATAAAGGAGAAGGATGAAATCATGAGCATGGAACTCTTCAGGGTCCCGATCCACAAAGCTTTCGTAGCGCTACGACATTCGTAAGCCTATAATAAACTAAACAGTTACGACACGTCGTTAAGTTACAAACGCTTTGTGGATCGGGGTCCTGGCTACTAAGATTATTATTATTAAGATTAAGATGATTTCAAAGTTACTTCAATGAACGAAATAACGTCTACCACTTGGATTATTTTAAGAATAACTTTATATGATACAGCAATCATATTTCCATAATGTATTTCCTCATCGAAAACATATATCAGGAATGAAATGTGCATTGTGCTCGCCAAAGACACATTCTTAACATAGATAATCTATCGGTTTTCATTTTCTTTTCAAAAGACAGCCTTTTTACCTAATGTAATCATGTCAAAAGTTCTTAGGTAACAATAAAATGAAAAATAATAAATAATGCTGCTCATCTTCAATGACATTACACAAGAACAATTTGCCTCAGTGTCATCTAAATCACACGAATATGACAAATTTGTATGTTGTAAAACATTCCATCATGGCAATACAAATAAACATCTTAAAAATAGAATGAACATCAACACTGGTTAATTCCATGATCATGTGAAATATCTACTAAACGAGTCCACAGTGCTGACTGTATCATAAGTATGTTTGTACCACTATCAAATAGTGATAATACAACATGTTCACGATAAGGAAAGCCTATCCTACCCTTCGACACCACCCCAACAAACACACGCAAAGGCAAGTCAATTATTCACATAAAAGTACCGGGACGCATGTTACAAGTCAGTCTTGGAAATAGCTTCGGGCATCATTTGTCACTGATTAGTCAAATTTGGAAATGTCCAGACTGAAGTTCGAGCAAAGACGAACTTTTCTTTACCTTTTCAAAGATCAAAGAAGATCTGTTTACCTAATGGCCCTCTTTAGCTCTCATGCCGCTTTTCATATCGTTAACTTAAACCTATTACAGATTTCATCACTCTATATCTATATTACCTGTGCAGGTAAAATATCACTGATCAACGTGCACAACGTACATTCAGCAAACAGAACACCTATGTGAGACCCTTCTTAAAAACATTATCATTCGACACCTACTGTGAAACTACTTACCGCGCTGGGAGAAATATGAGGTGGCTGATTAAAGTGAACTTTCCTGTTCTGGCTGTGAAAGTTAGACAAAGCAATCAGAACCAGGTATGTAGAACTCCATTGACATGTACAACGCCTGACCCGCCACGTCGAGACGGCGACTTCACCACCGACCCGGCGAACCATACAATAGCATTGTAGTCCCTTAATGCTTTCGTCTTGTCGCTACAGGTTGGTGTGGGTATGGTTGCATATATATGATATCTGAGAACAAGCCCTTGTGAAAAAGCCGTAGGGTCTTGAAGGTCTTTTGTCATCTGTGATCTAAATAATTCATGGTACTATGACACAGAGGGCTTCAAGTGAATTAGGTCTATTATTGAAGTGACAAACGCGATGGTGCCGTACACACTCCCCAGATACAAT